CTGACAGAGGAACTTTCTTGGGATGAACCTCCTGCTTTGGAACAGGCTCTGGCTTCTGATTCGCACCCATCCACTGTCTTTCTTCTGGCATGACGGACGTAGAGCTCCCACCTTTCATCTCCAGTAATTACATTATCCAACCAGTCGAAACGGCAACTTCTTGCAAGAAAACCTCTGCACACCCCGATACCTCTTTCCTTGCAATGCTCTGTCAGCTCATGAGGGATCAATCGACCAAGTTTCTCAACTTTTTCCAGCATGTGGTGAACACGACCTGTGGCCATGTTGAAGCAGTGCATCTCCTTTGCCAGCTCCATGGCGCTTGCATGCGGAAAGTCTTGAAGTAACAGCTCCAAACGTTCGAAATTAACTTTCGTTGGGCGTCCATCTTCGAGGTTGTAGTTTCCTTCGCGGAGCCTTCTGAACCAAAGTTGGCAGGTTTTTTCACTTACCACTCCCCCTACTTCTACAGAGCATATTTTGCGGCAGGCTTCGCTCGCTGTGGGGCCCAGACAAAATTCGCAAAGAAGTCAGTGGGGTACATGGGTAGAAACGTATGGCATTTTCCAGGCTCCAAAAAGCGTGCAGGAGGTGAGACTCGAGAATATGAAGGAATATCACCACTCCTGTATATGGTTAAAAATTTTCCCCTCCAGGTTAATGCGCAGCCGTTTGTGAGGACTTTGAAAAAATGCGCCAGGACTTTCGTTGCGACCTAATATGTAATCCAGTTTCTCTTTTTCCTATGAGATTTCTTCGCTGTTATTCTGCTGTAATGTGAGTAGCATAGTAAACTAAAATAATGTCACGAGTATTTTTTGCTGGTTTTTCAAATCTTGAAATTTTTCGAATTCGATTGGTCTGCCTCCAACAGATAGATGTTTTCACGTGTGCCGCCTAGTTTTCGTGCATTCCAAATCAGACCAACCCCTAAAGCAAGTAAACGAGCGAACTCTTGCTCCCATCCCTCTGGAACAGCCCAATCCACGGGTTATCGATATTACTGGATTTTTTTGTTTCATGATTCACACAAAACCTCTGTACACAAGTCCTACAGAAGCGATATCGTTCTTAACTGAATATCTGCCCTATCTGCCCTCATATCGAATAATGTGGATAGTGTTCAGCCGATCCACGAGACGTGCTACCTCAAACACTTTGAGTAAGCCTTATATACATAAGAATGAAGCTTTTTTGGTTTGGTTCACATCGTTATTTTGTTGTCTCGCCCATTTTGTCTCCGTTTGTTATTGCAGAATTAGGTTGTGATTGCTTTTTCTGAGCCGTGTACGGCAGTAGGTGGAGCCTGACCATAATTATGCACTGGAGTGGGTGGAGCTGGAACAGATGGGTGGGTGACAGTAAAAAAAACTCAGGTCCAGGTTTCGCAACCTCTATTTGTAAAGGAAGATTCCACGATGAAGTCGCTTCAAAGGAATCTTGCGCGGAAAATTCTTGCACTCTTTCCTAACATGAATATGTCAGTTGTGATCACTGGAAATAGCACACAAAGTTTCACGCATGAAGATTCGGTTTCTGAAGAGAAACAAACGTACAAAAACTACACGTTATGGACCATCGAAGGACCAGGAGGCAGAGCCAGGCGAGGCATGGAAAGAAGACGGCGTTTGGCCGGCTACGTACCAGGCGACGCAATGAGAGAATCGGGTTAAAGCGCGCGATTTCGGAGAGTGGAGACAAATCGATCGATGGAATAGGATGGAGTAGAAGTGTAAGATGTGAATGCAACGAAGCAGAAGGCCAGAAAGAGCTTCTAGTGAATGCACTCCAAGAACCAAGTTTGAGCATCCCCGTCGCCAGCATTCGTGAAAGACGTCCGTGGGCAATTCGAATTCTAATCATTAACGAAAGCAATACTTCAGTTCTTTTCACTATTATTGTGGATAGTGAGTCTCAAGCCAGTGATTTATGGATGAAGTAGAAGCATGATTTTTCCGCGCAAGATTCTTTAAGGAAAGGGAAACCATCCAAGGTGAATGACAGGCGGATTACGTAAGGGTGCGGAACGATATGCGTCAGCGAAGTATATCCCCCCTAAACCAGCATGGCCGTTCCCACGGTGCTGACGGCCGCTGGACCCGGCTCACCCCCTCGCCATCTGACACGGCAGCTCTTAGACAGCGCGGTGGGTTGAGACCGATGTAAGGCACATCTCGATAGCGCCAAACACTGGATGAAACGGGATTCACATTTCTCGGGTTGTAGGCTTGTCTCTTGGGTTTTTCTTCTTTCTGTGACATATACTGATCGCCTCTCACTTTATCTGATGACTGCTTTCTCATCGTACAACACGCCGCTTCGATGTACATAAAAATGTTGCAGACTAAATCGATGATCCGGCGCATAAGAAATAGAGCAAGCAAGAGCAAGGTTTTCACAGAGGCCTCGCTACCATGACAAGCGGAGGGGATTCGGCACTGATCAATTGGATCCACCACGCATTCTGATTCCATTCAGCATCCCAGCGCAATGGGTATGGCTTATGCGATTAATTACGGAGACCTACCTATGCACATGCGGATGATTTTGTCTCTTCGGATGAGTTTGGTACCATGGTTCCAATTATCCGCCAAGGAACGGAAGACTGGGTTTGCCTGCGCGGGATTCTAGGAACGAGGTGGAACGAGAGTTTGCCAAAAACCGAATTGAAAGTTCGGCAATCTGGTGGTGCCGTTAATCTAATTCAATTTAATTATGGCCCGAAGCCTAATCTCGTCGGCTTGAGGCGTCTGCGAGCACCGCACGATCGCAAAGTTTACTATTGATAGATCCTACACTGCATACTTCATATTTTTCTTCTTCTTTGTCATTCGCCTTTCTCTTTCTTTTTTCAATGTGATCCTTTTTCTTACTGGCGTGAATTTAAGCTAATGCCGTCATCGGCTAACATCGCTTTCTATAGGTGTAGAATCCCTCCAGCTTTGTACGCATTTCCCGCGGCTGTCCAGTCAGCGTCATCTCTGACCTTCTTTACAATTGAACCAAGGCCTACCATCTATCAACACTTACAAAATTTTCTCCACCTTGTCCTGGGGACTTTGTCTCTCTCCTTTATCAGGTATCATCGAGCATTCAGGATCGTCGTCGAGGGCCTCTCTATGAGTTCCTTGGTATCCCACCCATCCAGAGTTAGCGCGGACAAAAGAATCTTGGTCGACAGAGCGATAATTCCTACTCTCATACAGTGCTGCCCTCTTCAGTGCCAGTGCTTCTCTATCCTAAGCAGCTATAGTCAGGACGGAAGGTGTGGTGAAGCAACAGGTTGGTCAAGCGAGGCGTATGAGGTTGAAAAAAAAAAATTTCGGAAATACGACCCCCCCCTCCCTCTGCCGAAGGCCGAAGTCCATGAAACAACCCTCTTTAAAAGCCGAACTATGAAAAAGTTGTTTAATTCTCCACCAAAACTGCTCATAAAAAAGCCCTGCTACCCCATCGTCCACAAAAAAACTCGTTTAAAAAGTATAAAGTGAAAAAGTCAAAGATGATCATGAATGATTAATGACGAGTCCTGTCAAACGAGCAAACGAGAAACGGAGCAAAAAACGTCAAACTAGTCACTAGAAATGGCGTACTATGACAACACCTCTTCTTTGTTTATTTCCTCCACAAGACTTACCAAATTCTAGTACTACACAGATTATGGTTCTCAATTTACACGTCCCCCTTTCGCTCAAAGGAAGCCTTGTAAAAGCCTTCGCCAGCTGTGTGTTGACTGGACTTTGGCGTTGACCGTGGAGCAGCTTATTTACTATTGAAATTTGAACAAATATTCAAATGATTATAACTTTCTTCAAAGTTAACGAATTTTCAATCTGAAAGCTGATTTGGGAAGTTTTGTGAAGAGCTTTTCCTAATCAGTACTGAAATTACAGGAAGTTATAAGAAATTACGGGCGAGCACGAGTTTTTACACTTTCCGGAGCAATAACTTGCTTCATTTCCGTCAAATTCAAAAAGTTGATACGTCATACAAAACTAGAAGATTTTCTCTATCAAACGGTCGCTAAAGCAGCTTCATACGTCCAGTACTCAAAAAATGGCCACGTTGAGGATTTTTGCAAAATTAACGAGGAAAATTCGTGATGAGTGCGAGTTTTTACGCTTTCCAAAGCCATAACTCCGTTCAAACTCATGCAATCTGGAAAGTTAATACGTCATCATAAACTAGAAGATTTGCTCTTTCTATAGGCAACTAAAACTGCTAAATACGTTCACTATTTAAAAAATGGCCACGTTGAGGATTTTTGCCCGAGTACCGCCGAAAGGTACTTTTTCGCTACATTAGCACTATCCCAACGACTATAGCTCCTTGCAGGAGCGATTATGACTGGTTGAAGGTAAAACAACTTTAACCAGCCGTGGTTTGAGGGGTCTGATTTTCCCATGCGAAACACTTCAGTAGGCCTACATTCGACATCGAGTGCATCGAGAATGCTACAAACCTTGTTTTCAAGTTCTCTTTGACGCATCGATGGGGAGAGAGTCATTTCAGATTCCTGTACTCCAGCAAGGACTAAGCTACGCGAACGTTTTTCTTTCTCCAAAATCTCAGAGAATTCCTTTGGGATCTTTTCAGTTAATGCAGTTAACATTTGCGCAATAACAGGATCTCTATTCCGTTCCATAATGCTCGAAAGGAGTTCCTGAGCCGACATACGACTGTAGTCAGACTTCCCGGTAACGTTACCAGTTTGATTCGCGTTGATCAATGTGGATGAAGATACTGCTTGTTCAACACTGTTTTCTTTACTCCGGTTACTCTTAGCCATGACTGATTCACTAGGCAGGACCAAATTTAGAGTTTCAAATGACAGTATGCAAAAACTTGCGTGATTACTGAGTTATTCCGCGGCAATCCTGGAGAGTTGCACTTAAGCAACCGGCCACCACCGTCGAATGATGATGAATGATTGTTGTGTTCTTGCCTGATCCAATCACTCGGCTCTGTAGAACTCTTTTCTAGAAAACTCGCAAATTTTTATGAAGCAGTGGATGGCCGTTTCATCCATTGTACTACTTGAAGCCCCTTACAAGTGTTCCGTAACCATGTTCAGTGCCAAGGTACATATCATATCATATTGTAACCATTCCATCCCAAAATGATACATTGGGTTGAACAAAGTTCCCGAATGTGTTATCCGAAACTGTCGAAAGTTTATTATTGGCGCAGAAAAGCTCTAGAAATTGTCAACTCGAAGGATACCGGGGTCAATTAGTTCGATTTGGGATGCGCCACGTTCTCGACTTCCATCTCGAGGCTGCACATTGGAACGCATCCTTAGCCTTTGCTATGGCTCCTTGGTACCACCCAATCGGTCGATGCCCTCATACGGTCTTGTCATGAAATAACTAGATAAAAATTCGCTGATAATATCAGTACTCAAACTCTTAACGCCAAAAATATTTAGTGATAATAGTTTTCACTGAATGTACCATGAAAAACTGAGCTATGCGAAACGGTACCCTGGTAGCGTAATTGTAGCCCATGGCTCGGTAAGTGAAAGATGCAGCGGGTTCGAGTCCCGCTTAGTACGGAAGTTTTCACAGCCCAGCATTCTTGTGAATCGTGAATGAATCCAAGTTTACTCTCTCAATATCTACTTTAATTAGTGGCATTCAAATTATTCTACTGAATATCAATGTTTTCAGCCTCAGCGACAGTACTCAAGCCAGGTCCACACCGATCGACGGACTATTGACAGAGATGAGAACGGCGAACTAGTCGTGAAAATCGAAAAAAAAATGTAAGTTTTCTCAAAACTAGATAATCAGTTCTCTTTTTCCTATGAGATTTCTTCGCTGTTATTCTGCTGTAATGTGAGTAGCATAGTAAACTAAAATAATGTCACGAGTATTTTTTGCTGGTTTTTCAAATCTTGAAATTTTTCGAATTCGATTGGTCTGCCTCCAACAGATAGATGTTTTCACGTGTGCCGCCTAGTTTTCGTGCATTCCAAATCAGACCAACCCCTAAAGCAAGTAAACGAGCGAACTCTTGCTCCCATCCCTCTGGAACAGCCCAATCCACGGGTTATCGATATTACTGGATTTTTTTGTTTCATGATTCACACAAAACCTCTGTACACAAGTCCTACAGAAGCGATATCGTTCTTAACTGAATCTGCCCTATCTGCCCTCATATGGAATAAGTCGGATAGTGTTCAGCGATCCACTGAGACGTGCTACCTAAACACTCTGGTACCTTAATACATATTAATGAAAGGTTTTTTGTTTATTTACATCGTTTTTGTTGTCGACATCTTCGTTTGTTACCCAGAATTAGGTGGTAGATTGCTTTCGAGCCGTGTACGGCAGTAGGTGGAGCCTGACCATAATTATGTACTGGAGTGGGTGGAGCTGGAACAGATGGGTGGGTGATAGTAAAAAAAAACTCAGATTCAGCTTTCGCAACCTCTATTTGTAAAAAGGATTCCACGAAGAAGTCGGTTTAAGGAAAGGGAAACCATCCAGGGTGAATGACAGGCGGACTACGTAAGGGTGCGGAACGATACGCGTCTTGCAGCGAAGTATATCCCCCCTAATCCAGCATGGCCGTTCCCGCGGTGCTAGCGCCGCTGCCCGCCCACCCCCTCGCCGTCTGACCAGGCAGCTCTAGAAGAGCTGGTGGGGTGAGCACCGATGAGGCACACTCGAAGCGCAAATCAATGGGTGAAACGGGATCCCATTTCTCGGGTTGTAGGCTGCTCTTGGTTTTCTTCTTCTTTCGTGCATCACTGATCGCCTCTACCTTTATTCTTGATGAGCTGCTTTTTCATCGTAACGCCGCCTTCGATGTACATAAAAGTTGCAGACAAATGTGATCCAGGCGAAAGAAAAGAGGCAGAGCAAGAGCAAGGTTTTCACAGAGGCCTCGCTACCATGACAAGCGGGGGGATTCGGCACTGATCAATCGGATCCACCACGCATTCTAATTCCATTCAGCATCCCAGCGCAATGGGTATGGCTTATACGATTAATTACGGAGACCTACCTATGCACATGTGGATAATTTTGTCTCTTCGGATGAGGTTTGGTGCCATGGTTCCAATTATCCGCCTGAAGGAACGGAAGACTGGGTTTGCCTGCGCGGGATTCTGGAAACGGGGTGGAACGAGAGTCTCCCAAAAATGTTGAAGTCGGCCAACCTGGTGGTCGTCTATAATTATGGCCCAACCTATCTGCGGCTTTGAGCGTTCTGGAGCACCGCCGATCGCAACTAGTGGTGATCCCTACACTCATCTCTATTTTTTCTTTCTTTGTATTCTCTCCTTTCTCTTTTTTTTCATTGATCCCTTCTGATTTACGCTGCCGTCATCGGCTAAATCGCTTCTAAGGTATTAGAATTCCTAAAGCTTTAGACGCTTCCCCCGGCTGACCATGGTATCTCTGACCTTCTTTACATTGAACCAAGGCCTACCATCTACCAGCACTTACTAAATTTTCTCCACCTTGTCCTGGGGACTTTGTCTCTCTCCTTTCTCAGGTATCATGGATGTCGCCAGCATTCAGGATCGTCGTCAAGGGCCTCTCTATGAGTTCCTTGGTATCCCACCAATCCACAGTTAGCAGGACAAGAAATCTGGCGCAGAGCTAAGTCTTACTCTCATCGGAGCTGCCCTCTTCAGTGCTAATGCTCTCTCTCCTGAACAGTTATAGTCAAACGGCGAAGGGTGGGTGAGCACCGTCGCGCACTCTTCGGAAGGTTCCACATGTACCCTGAGAAATCCCAGTTTGTGTCATAGAAGCAACCTAAGAAAAAAATCTATCAGCAATCGGATCCAATGAATTCGGTGACGCCTGTTCGTCAAGTGAGTCTCCTTGGTGATCACCGTCACTCTCACCTTTTGGAGCCAATCCAACCTCTAGCCATTCCACGGACGTCCATTTAGCGACACCTCAACACAGCTTACGACGCTGTCAAGGTTAGTCGTCCTCTTATCTTTGCTACAAACCACGCTGATATTTTCGTTGATATGCTTCTTTCCAAAAAACGAAACGATCAGTGTGACTAATTACTCTTTGAATGTCTGGGCCCACGCATTTCCAGGCTTACTCATTGTGCCATAGTTGGTCGCGTAGTGCATCGAATTGTGCATGGGCATGTGCGTGGGCAGCTTCCCCAGTAGGAAATGTGAAAGCACATTTGTTACGGGACTGTACAGCTCAGAATGGCCCCTGAGACCAGCCCAGGAGGCACCCTCGTACTTATGGGATCGGTGACCCGAATCTTCCACCAGGGTCATCGTCCATTCGCACTATTCCGAGGGGAGGGGTCGTATTTGGGGGAGTTGAAGGGGTCTTGGGTGCAGGGAAAGGAGCCGCTTTCGACAATTTTTTATTGTACAGTTTCGTCAAGAATCTTAAGATGAACTTATGGTACATGTCCCACTCGTAATCGGTATTCATGGGAAATGAAGCCGGAACTGCTGGAAATAAGGATTCTCCAGCTAGGGAAAATGCGACGGGATGGGAGGGGGGGGGGTACATTAGAGCTCTCTGGAGTGCGAAACCTTCTCTTGAAGACGAGGCTATTATTGTTCGTCCAATAGTAGTCCGTGCGGCCCCCTCCCCTCTCTCGGCGGACCCACAGGTAGTACAGGGTGTCCCAAAATTACTTACGCCAAATTTCAAAGAACGTTAGAAAAGTAAAACGATTATTTTGGCGCGCTAATAAACAGTTGTGCAGGTAGGTTCTCTTGTGAACTGCATCGTTATTGGGGTAAAACTGCCAGTATCTCTGAGATGGCGAGAGGTGATCCAAGGTGACCTGCGATCATTCGCGTGCGCGAGGAAGAAGCTGCATCGTAGGACATTATTAATTTCTTGATGACTACGAGAACACAGTAAGATGGCCATGAAACGATGCACGAAAATAAGAACACTCATTGACAAGCCTAGACAAGGAAGAGTGGTCAGCGTTTCCACGGATAGAATTATCGAAATGTTTGGTTAGCAATTCACGGTGCTCCATCAGAAGGATGGCTAAACATATCGCTAAATATATCGAAGTCATGGATGGGGCTCATCTTAACACATTCACGACGACGCCCCTTTTCCACTTTTCGGTCGCGTGGGACGGACGCGATTTTGTGGGCGCCGCCGCCTCACCACATAACCGCAGATTTTGTACTGTAAATGAACAAAAACATGAATGTCACAAAATAATTTCAGCAATGTTCAATGTGTAAAGATTATCTTAACATATAATACACTGGTGTGCAAAACTTAAGGACGGAAGTAACTTTCACATGATATCTCACTGCTAGTTAACCTAGGTGGACCAAATTTGGCACATACATAGAAGTAAATGTTGCGGTACAGTGCAGAGAGTTACTAACAGAAAAGCGCAAAGGGACGATTGAAAAGACATTTTTCTTCAAATACCCTGTCTGAAGCGGTCGATGGGTGAGGCTACTCCAACTCATGGTAGACATTCAAAAGAGAGGAGCTGGTTCTTGATGGGGTGTATGAACACTACGGACTGCAAAGCATGCTCTGCTACGTGCTCCAATACTGGCCACAAGGTTGGTTAAGAGTTCTTGTGGAGAAGCGATCCATTCCTTGAAGACCGCGATTGACAACTGCTGGACAGTTGTTGGCGCATGGGATGCGCTACAATAGCTCTCCTGAATGCACGCCACACGTGCTCCATAGAATTTGACTGGAGGAAGCGGCAGGCTTCACCAATCGCCGAAAATCCTCACTTTCCAAGAGTTTTCCACCTAGGCTGCTCGATGCTCTCGCACCTTGTCCTCCATACGATTGAAGTTGAGGTCAAAGGCACCCTTGAAAAGATGCACATAAGTGAGGAGTACAGCGTCACAATAACGTCGATCAGAAAGCATTCGCGATCAGGAGTTGGGAGGTTGGTACGCCCTTGCAACTTTATGCCTCCCCACACCATATCGAATGGACTATCAAAACAATCATGTTGAACGATGGTCCTGGGTGCATTACGTGATCCTATTCTCGCCACATGCGGGTAAGTCCAAAATCACTACTTACATCCAATTTGATCTTAACTGAGAAGAACACGCGATCAACCAAATCAGTGGTCCATCGCTAATGTCCCGGCACCTAGCAAATGTTCCCGCCGATGCGCGGGTTTCGAAGGAACACCAGATACTGTTGGTCGGTCAGAGAGACCATCCTATACGGTCACTGTACCACTGTTCAGCTGGGATTACGTGCCTTACAATCCTGATAAATGTTTTTGCAACTGCAGCCTGTGACTGACGTGGGTCAATTCTTGCCTGTTGCAAAACGTAGCAATCACCTGCTGTTGCAGTTGATCGTGATCCACCACCTACTCTTCTAGGGGCAGCAGTGGCTGCAGTCCATATTGCTCCTTATGCGCACAAAACAATGGTGTGAGCAACATCAAACTCCTGGACCACACTCGTTACAAATCTTCCTTCTTCCAGTTTCCCGGGGATTCTTCCTCGCGTGAAGTCACCCTCGTGTTGTCTCTGAGACTTGCTGTAATCAAGAACACCACTACATTCCACAGTAACTTCTCCCTGCTCAGTACACTCCCTCTTGTCCTGTCCCACCAAACCCTCGTTCTGCGTGGCCACTCCCTTTTGGCTCCAGATGAAGCCGACCGCTGTATATATGAGGCCCACTTTCATGTCCATGACTGTAAGGCTTTTAGCAGTATGCTTGCACAGTTTCATCCAATTCCATCGAATTGTTAATAAGTTATGTCAATTTATCCATCTCGTCCTTAAGTTTTGCACACCAGGTAGTGGTATTTCGATCAGAATGACGAATAGTGGTTACGAAAAGAGAGCATTTATTCGCTTCCCCGTGAAGGAATTTAAAAGCATTTTCACTCGATTACGAGATTTACCCACCTATCTGTCCATTCCTAGCGCCTGGCAAGCGATTATCAGCTGGCAGCCCATATGGGCTGCCATCGTCCCAGGAGCACATGTTGTTGGCAGCCCATATGGGCGGCCATCGGCGTGAATGTGTTAATGTGAAGCAGCACCGCCAATTCTATCACATGTTGAGGTGCCGCTTCATCCTGTTCAGAACAAGCAGCAGAGAAGCCAAAAAGTTGGAAGGTTACTAGCGCGCTTCACTGGCGATACGCACTCTCGATCGTTTTTTCTGACGAGAAAATATTCGCTGTGGAGCCGATGTTGAATCGCCAAAGCGATCACATTCTAGTAGAAATATCGGGAGTGTCATCTCACGAGGAAAGATTGTTGGAAGAACGGCTAACTCGGCATCAGTAATGAATTGGTGTGAGTCGCGGCCAGTGGTGAGACGCCGTTGAATTTGCCGAATCCATGTGTGAAGATCAGCAAGGACGTGCATGCTGGTGAACGTATTGAAGCCTTGATCCAACTCCCACTTTGGGAGCAAGCCGTGGTGTTCCAGCAGGACAGTGCTACAGCCCACGGGGCCAAGCTCGTTCAAGGCAGGTGCGAGCTGCGAGCTGCCCGACTTCGTCGCCGCGAGGAATGGCCTTCTTGCTCCCCTAATCTTAATCACTTGAACTCTCAGTCTGGTTCGTGATTAAGAGCAAGGCATGTCGAGCTCGTCATACGAATCTGCAATCATTGCAAGCAGCATCAAAGGAAGCGGGGAAGGGATACCTGCGTGCAACGTGTGAAGGGTGCAAGAAGAGACTCGAGGCCTGTATTCGTGCAGGTGGAGGACATTTTGAAATCTGGTTGTTGCATGTTGTTGTGTATGATGTTAGTATAATTATGTTTAGATTCAATTATTATTCTGTGTCCAACAGTTCGAAAGACATTGCAATAGATGGGCGCAAGTAATTTTGGGACACCTGTAGAACAGTTTTAGCGTCTTATTTTGCCGCGCACCATTTGGCGTCGCACGAGCACTTACTGTGTGCCTTAAAATCTTATAGATAATAGCGGTCTGTGCTACTGCTTACTGTTAGTTCGCGGTAAAATTAGAGTGTAGAGTAGAATAGATGCTCGCAGTACGTAACGCGTTGAAATATAAGTGGTTCTAACGGTACAAGTCAAGTACAATTTATAGAGAAAAAAGTAATACTTGAAAAAATTATTCCATTACCAGAAAAAGCGCGCGTTTTGCCGTCCTTTTTCTCCAAAACTTGGGCCGCCCTTATCCATAAGACTTTAAAGGTACTTTGCAATTATGCTCAGTGGATCTCTGAACCTTTTCTAGGCAATAAGAAAACTTATAAATTCGGACACCAAGCTATCTAGCACTGGAACAGTATTCCTGCGTGGCACCCGTTGAAAATGCCCGCAGCTTGAACCAATGATGACCAATGATAGCTTATGTTATGACGACCAATGACCGTCGCGCGCCGCACGTATGATTTTCTCTGCTTCCCATTGGCCGAAGGACTTCCAGCAAATTCTCCAAAGAGTTCCATCTTACAAACGTTTTCCTCTGAACGAGCGCATTTTCAACTGGAATGGTTCGCATTCGAACGCTGCCCATAACCCAGCGCCATTTTGACGCAGTCGCATTATTCAGTACGATGACATTGGCACGCCACAAAGCCACGTCACAGTCGTGGTTTGTAGCCAAATTGTGAGTCATAAAATGTAATGTGATGAGGGTTTATAACAGACGTTTATTTACAGTGCATCGGCTCGTTCCGGACGTTCCACAATGTCATCAAATTCGCTGTCGCCCAGTCCTCGACGTGAATCCAATGGACTTGTTTCCTACCTAGTTCAGAATCCATTGTATCGAGATTAATTCCAATTCCTCATTTTTTCCCTTTTCAATTCGATTTTTTATTTGGAAGTGTAAACAGTCGTGTGTATACCGATTGTATCCATTCGCTGAACAATATGTAATCCATTTCTGATTTAAAAAAAATCGTGAAAATGAATCTTGGCTGAATCTGGCTTTGATGGTCCAAATCCGTCCTCATTTCACTACTTTGGTCACTAAAAACGTTGTCCAGTTATCCGTTCCCTTCACGGTTGCGAACGGGTTTTGAATTTTGCTAAGGATTGGAAAGCCGAAGTTCCTCCAGAGTGAAGTCGAGGTGAATGCGGGTAGGTTGTGCGGTGCTGTAGGCTCATAGTAAAAAGCCCCGCTCGTACAAGGTGGGAATCACAGAAATCGCACGCGCTCACGAAATGTCTTCGATTTTGCATGGGAACTGCGAGCTTCTCTAAATAGACTTGATGTGGGAAGCTACCAATTGTCGTAGCCAAAGCAAGCTTAAAGGCCGAGTTTACGACGAAAAGACAGCCTACTACAAATCAAGGTAGAGATGGTCAGCGGTGCAGGGGTGAAGAAAAATCATGACGCGCGTTGGGCGACTCTCATCGGTGCTGCTTTCTTCAACGCTGATGTCTTGCTGTGTGCTAAACGGCCAGTGTCATAGGTGAGGGGTAGCCTATCAGAAGGTGTGCACAGGTGCTAGCGGAGAAGTACAGTGCAGTGCCTTGCCAAGCCGCAGCCACGCCGCTAGCGCCTTGCCCTCCTAGGCCGATGGACATGTTCCTCTTTGTGAAACGAGCATCATCCCGCGCTTCCGTGGGCCCGCTTGTCTTTGATCTAGAAATGTTTCTCCGTCTTGATCTCCGAGATTATCATGATTTGAATTCCCTCGAAACTTTTTTTGAATAACTGTGCTTGTAACTGACCTCTTCCCGTCTTTCATCTTTTGTCTAGCTTTCAAGGGGACCTCTAAAGAGCTACCACAGGGAATTGTTATCTAGCATTCATATGTCATGGGAGTCTACTCTAACAGACCAACCTCCATTGGAGAAATTTCAACGAGGGGGTAGGGGCCATATTCTAAAGACAATCCCGGGATTATTCGGATAGCCACTTGGGAAGGATACCGCGAGGGAAATTGTAAGGTCCGTACCTACCTAGATCACTCCAGCTTCGCCGCAAAAATTGCGCGGTTAGGGCGCTAATCCTTACGGGCCTGCAACCATCGACCCCCGTTGCAACGCTTCCCACCCACCTCGATATCGGCGTTCTGACCTTTTTGAAGGTTAAGGCCTTAATTTCAGCGATCCCAAAGATTCTCTAGCTTTCCTTTCCACTTTCAGGCCGTCTCCGCAGCTCAGTCATCACTACGAAGCGCTCTTACCACCAGTTTTATCCCGGGGCTTCCTTTCAACAATTGCAAAGGAAGGGAGAAGCAGAGAAGTAACTTTGGTCATGAAGTATTAGCAGAATTCTCCGCCTCACAAGAAAACGAGGTGGACAGAATCTCATGGCAAAATATTCTCCCGGAGAAAAGCAAGACCGGATCGCTTGCCCTCACAATCTGTAAAAAATCAGGTCGGTGCATGATTTCCGGACTGCCTTAGCCTTGCTTTCGTTTTTAGGGCGTCGATTTTGAAGTCATGGTATTAGGTTGGGAAGAAAGTTCCGCAACACCGAAATTTTCTTTTTTTCTGAAAAATTCATAGGTAACATCTCGAGGCTTTAATCCACGAGGTGGATATAAGTGCTGCAGTCAGTAGTTATCCAAGAAAATTCAAAAAACCTCGACCACTAGTAAATCCATACTCCGAGTCACTGTCTAGTACAAATGTCTCCATAACTATGGATTCGTGTCAACGACCACACTATCTGCAATAGCTTCAATAGGCATGCCGTTCACCGCTACAGCGTGTTTCACCTTTACCAGCGCTTTCGATCTTTTGATATTTTTATAAGAAGCCAGCAGCGTCCCTCACACTCCATTACAGGTAGGGCTCTTACGGAAGCTCCACTACAAATTCTTCGTTATGGGCACCATTGTGTAGGTAGAGGTCTAGGCTGCGGAACTCCAGAAGCTGGCCGAGGCAGCTCGTCAGGAGCCCTCGTACCGCGACAATATTTATTTCTTTCATGACATTGCGAATCACCATGATCCGAAATGAGCCCGGTAAGAAATTCTGGAGCTGCGGCAAGATTTCTTACCTCTCTTAGCGTATTCCCCTGGTCGAGCTATAAATGACTGCCACCTATCCTGGACCTTAATCATCATCTTGATGACGAAATAATTAGACGATCAACTCCAACTCGAAAGTGAGGTCGCCTCCTTTCTCGACCCGCACTCCGCTGGGTTTTGGCAAAGGAGCATCAAGAAATTTTCTGAGCAAAGAAGATGAAATTAAAATCAAAACTTGAAAAAGTGTTGCAGGACTCTCTTTCCAACCTGATAGTTAGGGAAAATTTCTTCCGCAGGGGACGAACCAAACCGAGAAGCAGGAGTGCAACCGCTGGCGCGAGATGCGGAGGAACTGTATTAGTCGAGAGTTTCAGAACTTTCCTGAACATCTTTTGCAATAAGTGGCTTAACATTGTCATAAAAATGTCCAGAGGGCTTGCGATGAAAGACAAGACAAAAATGGAGACATTTTGTCTCCATCTTTCAAATGGATTTAATCACACCTTTGCTCAATTCAGACCGAATGGTTCCAACTTATTATTAAAGAGTGCATTCCATTCTATAAGAAAATCTTCATGGTGGCCACCTACGTGGACGGCATCAGAAGAATTTGCCCTGGAAACATGGTGCACTGGTCGAGCTCAATGGGGTCTTCGAAGGATCGTGTACCATAACGACCTTTACTGAAAAGCTAGTTTCGAGGGGATTTGCACAGTGGAGCTAATCCTCTAGAAACTATCCAACATTAATCGATTCAAGAAATTATGTAAGAGCTTCAGGCTGAAGCAGTTACGGTAGGCCTCCTTGAGCTCGACGACGATGACAGATGACGTCATATTCTGAAGACGGTGAGGCAGTGAAGGAGGGCCTGCGTCTACTTATAGAGGGACATTTAGGAATATTTTGCTGAGGAACTTCCGTCAACGACGGCAATCTTTGCGAAGAAAAAATCGGCCGAAGTGCGACATGGGCAAAATTTCTTTTGGCCCCTCCTCCACCTGTATGTAACTCTTTTCTTGTTCTGCTCTAACGCTGGAAGTGCAGCATAAAACCGTGGTCGGACGACACACCAAGAACCAAGACAATGGCCACGAATATCTTTCAGTGAAGGGTTCAAACCGACCATCAAGACGTGAATTTATGAATGTTGTGATGTATCAAAAATTTTAGGAAATGGCCACGTTAAGCTTCTTGAACCCTAAGTTCGCTAATTTTGTGGTTGTACTAGATTTGAATTGAATGGTCTTCGGCTTTGAATGGTATGAAAATTTCCATGGAGCAGGCATCTTTATGATTAATTTTGTACAAAACTGGAGTGTGGCTTACATTCTGTAAAGTTTCCTGTTGCGCCAAAACCATATAAGAGCACCGTTCGCACGCGCTTTGCTCTGTCGAAGGTGAACCATATCACAGAAGAAAAAAAAAGAAAAAATGTGGGCAAACTAGTGAAGTCAACACTACTAGACATTGAAT